ATTAATAGTTTTTAATAATATTAGAAATATGTTTCAATTAATAATTTAGGTAATTTTATTATTTTATTAGAGAGTAATTATAAAATTTATTTTTTTAATTAATTTTGTTAAATAAAAAATTTTGGCGAAGGAATATTTGTAATTTTTCGTATTTTAAGCAAATCTTAGAAGATATATTTATAATTTATCTTAAAAAAAACAAAAAAAGAAACCATATGGTGTGCACCCTCTCATGGGTGCAAACTATGGATTCGTTTTGGAAGTGGGTTGACTTTTGATTTTTTTAGCTATTTTAACTTGGGGTTAAAAAGTTTGGTTTGGAAAAAGTTATTTTTTTTTGAATTTTTTATGAGAGAAAAATGTAATGATTACGAGTTGAATATGATATTTTATTTTATTAGACAAAAAAACTTATTTTGTTTTTTTGTTTTTGTGACTATTTTAATTAAAAAAAAAAAAATCTCAAATCTAACTTCCCAAGCGGAGGCTATATACACTTTAACAAAAATTGATATTATTTTATTATAAACTTTTGTAACATTAATTACAAAATATGTAATATCATCACAAATTAATGAAATAAAAAATGTCATAATCAAGAAGTGATTTGGGATGATCTAAATAAGTATACTTTTTGATTTTGTAAGAAAATATATGTAATGTGATAAAGAAGTGATGTGATCTAAATAATAAGTGATGTGACTCAAATAAAATAAAAAGATGATGCATTTCAATGGCGTATCAACGGTTCATATTCGCTAAATCAGTTGCCACAGTAAGCTTGGTAGTACTGTGAAGTACAGAATTATCACCCAAAAGCGCTATCGTCGTTCGACATCAAACGGAACGGTCCAACACGGCAACTGAGACGATATCATAGGCTCGCCACAAGGAATCCGACCAGCCGACCTACTAGGGCTCGTCACGTCACGTGTATGAGTCTCTAAAGTTCCAACCCTGGTGCTTCTCACACAGAATAAAAGTTTCTATGGTACACATTTTTGTATCTTCTACGACCATCTATTAATCATATGGATATGTGCCCCATAGGTAAGCTCGTGGATTAACGGCCCAGATCCAATTATTGTGGGGTAATTGACCCTAGCGGTCAAAATTCGTCAGAAAAAGATTATTCAACTCAGAGCCATCTGATTCAAGTTGATTCCCTGACGTAGCAAATCCCACCTTAGCCTACAAATGAGTTTGATTTCATTCTCACATTATCAAAATTTTATTGGCACATTATCGAATATATAAATAATATATAAATTTTTATTAATTTAAGAAAAAATAGTGAAATATCTCCTCTAACTCTGGATAGTTTGAGAGGTTTAAAAAACTTGTAAAGAGTTGAAATTTCTCAATGAAATTGAAATTTCTCTATAAATTTTTTTTTTAAAGAATTGAATTTCTTTTTAAAGAGAATTTTTTCTGTAAAAATATTGAGAGATTTCAATTATTATGAAAATATTACATATTTTTTATCTTATAAAATAAGCCCAGGTTGGATATAATATACAACACACACACCCAACTGGCTATCCGATGTGGGATAGCCCCTGCCCCAACCGACCCGGGCCGGCAAGCCCCACCCCGAAACGAGGCCCTAAGAGGGTTGGCAGCAACTCTGGATAGTTTGAGAGGTTTAAAAAACTTGTAAAGAGTTGAAATTTCTCAATAAAATTGAAATTTCTCTATAAATTTTTTTTTAAAGAATTGAAATTTCTTTTTAAAGAGAATTTTTTCTGTAAAAATATTGAGAGATTTCAATTATTATGAAAATATTACATATTTTTTATCTTATAAAATCTTAATATCAAAAATTTTAAGTTAAAAACTCCTTAATTTAAAATAATAAATTTGTGGAGTTAATACAATTTTTTTAATAAGAAGTTTAGAGTTTTAAACTAATTAAATGTTGTGTTTTATTTAAACATTTTGAAAGTTTATGAACAAATTTAAATTTCTCTACAACACATGATACATATGTTATTGATCATAGGATGGTGAAAACAATAATTCGTTTCCGATGTACCAAAAAAAAAAAAAGAAAAGAAAACAATAATTTAACATATAGCAAATACTAATAAGTATTTTGAAAATATTAGGATATAAAATACTAATTAATATTAGGATATAAATAACATTATTTAATTTTTTTTAAGAAATCAATTAAAAAATATTTTTAAAATTTAAAAATATTCTAAAATTATAAATTTTTTTTTTCATCTTACTAATAAGATATTTCTTGATCTCGCTAAAATAGAATACTTTGGACAAAGCTTCTATGGTTTTTACAAAGTATATTTTTGTAATAAAAAACATAAGAAAACAGATTCTAAAAATATTTATTTTTGGATCTTGCTAATAAGAGTCTTTGGAGCATGAGAAAAAAAATTGCAAGATATTTCTCACGAATTTTAACCTACTGTTCATTTTCATTGATTTCAATTTTTTAAAACATTTTTACTATTTCAATTTTTTTAAAATAAAAATTTCAATATTAAACAACAAGAAAACGCATTCCATTTAGTGTGTTTGGTTTCAATATTTTAAAAATTGAATTTTTTGTTTGTTGTATTTTTTTAGTGAATATTTTTTAAATTTTAAGTAATTTTTTTACTTTTTTATATGCACCTTATTTAGATGTATTTAAAAAGTAAAATATTTGTAATTTTTTTAAAAAATCAATAAATACATAAGAATACAAAAATATACTGAACTCTAGTATTTTTTTTTATTTTTTTCATTTTGATATTTAGTGAATTTTTTAAAGATTTTTCACAAATATTATACTTTTTGAAGTATATTTATATTAGGTGTGTCTAAAAATTTTAATAATTACTTAGAATATTAAAAAAATTCAGTAAAAATAAAAAATACTAAGCTAAAAAATTTTAATTTTTTGGAAACTATAGGATTGCCTACTTGATAGCGCTCCTCTCTTTCTCTCTCAAAAAATAAAAAATAAATAAATTACAAATACATCCTTAAAGTTTGATTAAAAATCGCCTCCTATAATTTTGAAAATTACATTCTACCCTCTGAGATTTCTAATTTTATAACAAATTGTCCATTTTATTAATAAATCATAAAGTTAATTAATAGTTTTTAATAATATATTTTAATTAATAATTTAAATAATTTTATTATTGTATAAGAGAATAATTATGAATTTTATTTTTTTAATTAATTTTTTTTTTTTTTTTTTTTTTTTTTTTTTTTTTTTGCACATATATATATTTTTCTCATATTTTATTTTTTTAATTCCGGGCCTATTTTTTTGGCCTGTGGGCCGGCCCGGCCCGACTCGAATTTTTCCGGGCACCCACGAGGATCGACATGGGCCGGGCCCCTACACATTGACGATATGAACATTTACGTTGACGGTGTGAACATTCACATTAAGGGTATTTTGGTAATTATGTCACCCATAGAACTTACTGACACATAAGAAAATAATGTGAACTAAATGGAACATAAGTAGATGAAAAGGGTATTTTGGTCTTCTTATCTTAAATTGGACCTAATGGAATAGTAAAAAAGAATATGGGTTGAATGGAATAAAGCTCTTAGAAAATAGATTTATCAAAAAAGCTCCATTTTTTAAAATATAAGAGATAATTTTTATTTTAAGTAAATTTTAGAGATGTATTTACAATTTATAAAAAAAAAAAAAACCCGCCGTTTCGTCTCTTTCACACGCAATTCCCGCCAGACTCCAGCCAAATCGACGGCCATCCACAAAGTAGGCCCCACTGCACTCCGTGAACGGTCCTCTCACCTACTCTACTCCGAGCTTCTCCACCTCACCAAGTCCTGCTTACGTGGCAAAACTCACAGCGTGTAGATTGGAATAAGAAAAGGATCGCATCCGTTGGCCCATCTGGGAAGTTATGGATTGATTTTGGATATCGCTACATTGTGCTTTAACGTGAGTGATAGAAAGGCAAAGGCTTATTTTAGCAACATAGTTTTTAGTCACTTTTTTTTATAAGTAGTAAAAGTTAAAAGTTAGTTTTTTTAACTTTTTTTTCATTTGGAAAGTTAGTTTTTAGCCAACGGTGAAAATATAATTTTACCCTTCATGAGTCAAAATGTGTTACATAAGTAAAGTTGTAAATATTTTAAATAAATAGGGGTAGTTTGGTCATTTTATTATGATTTGACATCATAAATAAATATTAATCAAAAAAAGTCAAAAATCACTTTTTATCAACTTCTCAAATCATTTGTCTAAAAAAGCCAAAAGATTGGTTAAAAGCCAAAAAGTTACTTTTTACCAGCTTCCCAAAATAACCCAAAACTCATAAAGAGATGATAAATTAGCGCTGTTTGAGAAGTTTGATTTTTGTTTTTTTTTGGACTAAAACATAAATTAGTTACAAAATTAAAAAAAATCAATCAAAATAAAATATCATATTAAATTTCATAATTATTTCATTTTTTACAAACATCACATCTAATCACGAAAAATTTTAATTATCATTTTAAATACAAATTTTTTTTTTCACTAATAATATCGTATAACTAAAAAAAACTTATAAAAAAAAATCTACTTTCCACACACCTCTATCATCGATGAAAAATATAACCATACACCAATCAAAAGGGCAAATTACATACACCCCTTCAGGTTTGGTTAAATTATAAATACCCCATTGAAGTTTGAGAAATTACAAATTTTCCCTTGAATGCTATATTTGCATAATAAATTAGGGAGTAATTTGTTATGAAATATAAACCTCAGGGGACAAATTATTATGAAAATACAAACCTCAGGGATGGGATGTAATTTCTGAAACTTCAGAGAGTATTTGTAATTTAGTCAAACCTCGAGGGAGGTATATGTAATTTGCCCATAATTTTTTCTCAAAGCTCTGTCTGTCGTTACGGAAAGAGAAAACATCCAAACGCCGTCAACTTTTGCTTTCCCAGCTCCACTCCACTTCATAAACACTGTCATATATATAGATAGAGAAAGGTGCAGTCAGAGAGAGAGAGAGTATAAATATATAGAGAGAGAGAGTTTTAGAGAGAAAGAGAGGGAGAGAGGGTGGGGGCCCTGGAAACTGAGAAGAGAGTAGGTTGTTGTTATGGTGAGCAAAAACCTGAATTGCTTTATCTGCTGCTTTTGCTTTTTCACTCCCCCACTACCCACCACTACCATATCATATCTGCAATTTTCCGGACCACGCGAACCATATCTTACAATCATACATGTACATACATACATACATTGACGAAATGTTCGTTTTAGATCTCTCTATTTGACTCTATTCCACCTTCTTCACACAAATCACATCCCATCGATTCATTTTTCATTTCTATGGGGAGTTTTTCATCCGAAGAAGCCTCCGATGAGCAGAGTGAGCTCCATGGAAGCTACAGCTTGAGCGCTGATGTCAGCGAGTCTGAGAGTTCGAGCAGTTTTTCGTGTCGCCGATTCGATGCCGAAGCCCCGTCGAGTTCGATGGCCTCGTCGCCACTCGCTCGCTGCTCGCTGACCGGGAATTCCTGCTTTCCGGTGGTTGCCGGCAAAGGTGTGGTGGCTTGGTACCAGAAGCCTGAGAAAGGCGAGGCCGATTTGTCTGGTTAGCGATTTTTTTTTTTTTATCCAATTTTTTCTAGTATTTATATTTTGAATCTGGTGCTAAATTTAATTTAGGGAATCAAAGTCTCAGTGATGATTAGATCTTACTATGCACAGCTTTGACATTAATCTGTTAGATTTTTGTGAGATTTTTTACTAATTTATAATCATGAATTTGTAGAGTTTGACATGATGAAGGAAAGATTTGCTAAGCTTTTACTTGGGGAAGACATGTCTGGAGGGGGTAAAGGAGTCTGTACTGCCCTAGCAATCTCAAATGCCATCACAAACCTCTCTGGTAATTTCATTTTTAGTCTTTCTGTGTTTGTGGTCTCTTTTAGTCTTTGTGTGTTTGTTCACTGAATTCTGTATTTGTTTGCAATTTTAGCCACTGTGTTTGGGGAGTTATGGAGGCTAGAGCCATTGGCATCTCAGAAAAAGGCATTGTGGTGCAGAGAGATGGAATGGCTTTTATGCGTGAGCGATTCGATTGTGGATCTCGTACCTTCGATACAGCAATTCCCTGGTGGTGGCGCATACGAAGTCATGGTCCCGCGACCTAGGTCTGATTTGTACATTAATCTTCCTGCTCTCAAGAAGCTTGATGCTATGTTAATTGGAATCCTTGATGGGTTTCTAGAGACTGAATTTTGCTATGTTGACCGCGGCATAATTGTTGGTGATGCAAATGATTGTGATGTGTTTCCATCTGTTGGGAGGCCTGCGATTAGGCAGGAAGAGAAGTGGTGGCTTCCCTGCCCGAAAGTTCCTCTCAAGGGGTTGTCGGCGGATGGAAGGAAGAGGCTGCAGCAGAGCAGGGACTGCACTAACCAGATATTGAAAGCAGCACTGGCTATCAATAGCGGTGTGCTTGCTGAGATGGAGATTCCAATTGCCTATTTGGATACTTTGCCCAAGGTATCGGTTTCAATTTTGTGTCTGTTAAATTCAAAAAACTAACAGTAGCTAATATGCATGTATACATGTTTACTTGCTCTATATTGGGTCTCCATAATGATATGATTAACTTTGGTGAGACTTCTGATTACAATGTGGGTGGTGATCATTACTTCAGTCTCTAGCGTACTACTAGTTTGAATAATTCTTTTCATTAGATTAAGTTGAAATTAAGAAATTCTGTCATGTGACTCCTTGAAGAAGCGGCATTGATACAATTCATTTAGTCAACAAAATTTCCCGTCTTGGAAAAATGTTTGGGCTCTGCTTTTGCCTCCCCACATTTCTCAAGTTTACTTGCCTTGGGGTTGTAGGATCTAATTTTTCTCGGACTTGAATAATTCTGTGTTAGTTAATGCATCTAGTACTTGAGCTAAAATTGTTGCCAATTCTGAGCTTAAAAATTTCTGATTAAGTACTTTACGATTAAATTAAAGGCATAGGCAATGAAATTTTATTTCTGAGTCTGAGTTGAGAATGGAAACCATGGCTGCTTAGTCTTAGTTGTTCTTTGTTCCGCCTTGGTACTGGGGTTTAACCTGGTTTGCAGTTCATAAAGTTACTTATTCATTAATGAAATATATTATTATTAGTGATGTAAAGTTATATCTTAAAATAACAAGGACATAAAATTATGATAGACATATACAGTTATTGAATCGAGGTATGAATGAACTGAGAATGGAAACTTCTTTTTTTGAGCCGTGAATAATTGAATATTGAATGTATAGATTCGGTAACACTATAAAAACCGTACATAGGCAAGGAAAAACTAAAATCTTACTATAAATGTGATTGGTTAGACACAATTCTAAACTTTTGTGAATGGCAGGTTGTAGTGTTTGCGTCAATGTCAAGAAGTGCAGGTCTGGGTCTTGTAGTAATTTATAAGCTTGTATTACATATGTATTTGTGTGCATTGATTACTTGAAATATCTAAATTTCAATGTTCATATAAGTAGCTCATTTTCTAAATTCAATATGAGATAAACCTAACAAAATTGGCATATAGTAACCTAACAATTGTTCAACATTTGTTTAGTTGCTGTTGTAAAAAGTTATTATTATAAATTCAATATTCTTCTCAGCAGATTCTCCATATTACTCTGAAAAATTGTTCAACATAGTTATGAATTAATAGATGTCCCTTGTATGATTTATTTATTTTTGACTTGGTTTTTTTTTTGTCTTGCAATTTGTTCAATTTCCATTGCAGAGTGGAAAAGATTGTCTAGGTGATATCATCTATCGCTTTATAACTGCTGAGCAGTTTGCACCAGATTGTCTTCTGGATTGCCTAGACCTGTCATCAGAACATCACACGTTAGAAGTGGCAAACAGGATTGAGGCATCTGTACATGTGTGGAAGCAGAAAGGCCAGAGGAAACATTCAAAGTACCTGAAAGCTAAGCGTTCATCATGGGGAGGCAAGGCCAAGGGGCTTGCTGCTGATGGTGGCAAAAATCAGTTTCTGGCTGAACGAGCAGAGTCCCTTTTACGTAGCCTAAGAATCCGTTTCCCTGGCCTTCCACAGACTGCTTTGGATATGAGCAAAATTCAATACAACAAGGTATTTTGTTTAAACTCATCCCTTTAGCATCAAGTGAACTGGAACAATTATTTTCTTAATTAGTCGGAATAGAATTTGATGCATATGTGAATCATACAAAGCTTCGTTGCATATTTACCAGTTGTTCGTAGCTAGTTTGATTTTTATGATTGTTGAAGATTTTGCAAACAGGGGCAGAGGAAATTTAACAGAGTTTAAGTTTAGTTAAAGAAACCGACGTATGATGAAGATTTTTGACAATCTATCCTTTGAAGAAGCACGATGTTGAAAATTTTCTATTTCTGTTTGAATGTAGTAATGATTGGTTAATCGATCATTGGTTGTTTGGTTGGTTTTCGTATGGTTCCAATTCAGGACCATTCTTATTGCCATTTTTTGTTGCAGGATGTTGGGCAGTCAATTCTAGAAAGCTACTCGAGAGTTATGGAGAGCTTGGCCTTCAATATAATGGCAAGGATTGATGATGTTCTTTATGTAGACGACACCACTAAGCGATCTGCTGCTGCAGAATCAATGTCCTTTTACAGCAGGAGAACATTGGGGGGTCTTCCCATCCAAAAACGGATGTCGCCTAGCCCTTTCTCGATTCAGCACACCCCTTATGCCTCACCATTCGCAACCCCAACATTTTGTTCTTCCCCTCCCCTAGTTCAAAGCCCAGGTAGGGCACCTCAACCTTCAAATAAGAGTACTCTGATTGGGGCACCATGCCGGAAGATAGAAAAACCGATGCCTGCTGACTTGGAGAAAGTGTGGTCATATGCTGGGAACCTTAGTTCCAGAAGAGTTTCCGGGGATGCTCCTGAACGTGATTGATTCCTTGATGCTATGTAGGCAGTCTGACACCTGGTTAAGGTCACTTACGTTGGTAGAGTTGAAAAAGATTGATGGTTTTAATCTTGTATAGTTGGCTTAGGTAGAGACATAACATCTGGTTTAGAGAGTTCACCATGGGTTTTTCCTGGTGCTAGATGGATTAGGAATATATATATTATTGTTATTATATGGGGAATTGATGATTATTCCATTCCTCAGACTGGGTGAATTTGTAGGTTCCACTATAAGGAATTTATGTTGCTAGTTTTTAGATGGACAAGAAATTTCTAGCATTTTTCAATAGAATTTTGACCGACTTGTTTTGTCTTTCAAGAGATTTGCTATGAGCCAACAATCATCGTAAATAGCCCATATAAATAAGTGAATACAATTTTTATAACGAAAGAGAAATGATTAACTTTTACCTTCAGTCAACGGTTAACCCCTCTTTTCACTTTTTGTGATAATTTTGGTCAATTTAATTTTATTAGAAGGGATATCAGCATAATTACGATGAAATTATAACGTTACTTCTATTTTTTTCGAGGTAGTTTTTTTCCAAATCTCATAAGATAATTTACCCAATTTTAAATGAATGCGAGTTTGGCAGAACGGTCTTTAAAGTTACCTGTTGCAATCCGAGGCTACTAAGTAGACTGGGGATTGCCACGAAACTTGAAAAAATGTTGAAGAGTCTCAAATATTTTATATATGAATGTAAGATTTCCACTATGTGAGTTCCATATGAATTTTATATCTACGTGAAATATTTAATAAAATGTTTGAAACTTCTAATATTACTTCAAAACTTGACTTGTGATATTAATTTTTTTTTTATGTTAATAAAATATCACGTGACATTATCTTTTATTAATTACAAATGTATATGTTTACTATTATTTTTTAAATACTTAATATAAATATAATGGATCATACTATTAAAATTAATAATAATAATAAAATGTATTACATGACATACCGTATCCGCGTAGAAAAATTTCTACAAGATGTTCATTAGCTAACCAATTTTTCCGTCAGAGAAGAAGTATTAGAGTATCCAAAATATTGCTGTGCAGTACTGGCCCTGGCTATGGCCACTTAGGCCTATGCTCTCTATGCCTAAAAAATTTGGTTCAAAATAGGCGTCCAAAATTTAGTAAAGTATTATAATATATTATAAATTTAAATTGACCTAAATTATTTTTATTATTTTAGGATCAATTTAAAGGGTTCAAAAATATTTTGTTAGACCATAATTATTTATTAGTGTGATTTGGTTCAATTAAAATTAAAATATCTATAGAAAGTGTTGATGGTCTAGGGAGAAGAATTATATATACAAGCTCTCAATATCTCTCTCTCTCTCACAAAGTGACGAAGGAAAAGAAGCATACCAAAGCATAAGCAAAGCACTGAGCAATGGTGGAAATTGATTGGAAATTATCAACGGCGACGACTCACTCACTCTCTCTCACGGTAAGTGCTCTATCTCTCTCTCTCTCTCACTATCAGATTTTAATAGAATGAATAAATTTGTCCTGATTTTTTTCTACCTTCTTTCTTTATCAGATTTTAGTGGAATAATAAATTTGCCCTACTTTTTTAACCTTCTTTATTTATCAAATTTTAGTAGAATAAATAATTTTATCCTAATTTTTTTGCTCTAGTTCTGTTTCATTAAATTATTTTTTATATTTTCTTTACTATTAGATATGAAATGATCACGGGATTGTGATTTGTAAATTGAATTGTGATTATAGTCATGTTTTCTAGTAAGTATAGTTCTAAAAATAAAAAGAGAAAAAAATTGAAAGTAGAATAATTAATTCAATTTCAATTAGGAGTACATGATAAATATTTTGGTAGCAAAAAACAAGTAAATTTGTTTGCTTCACACTGCTAAAACATTTTATTAATTAAATTTGTTGATTAATTAATTTGTTTTGTTGATTTGAACTATACTTTATGGTAAATTCTTTTTTTCTCTAAAATGAATACATTTTGATATCTATTTTAGTATCAATAGCCGGTAATGATACCAAACAGAGTGTTTTTTATTTATTTATTTATTCATTTTTTTACATATGAATATAGGTTTTTTTTTTTTAGTTTCGCTTTAGGCGTCTGAAAATTCAGGCCGGGCCTGCTGCTGTGAGAGAGAAACATGCAATATTTACAGTATGAAAATACCAAAAGGAAAATGCTTGGAGCACTAATTAGTGCTCCCACTAATTAGGTGGCAGTGGATTCCGTCATGAATGATGTGATGTTTTGGTCTTGGAGTTGTAATTTTTTTTTATTTATTTTTATTTTTTTAATGCATTAGTGCTATTAGTGGTGATATTTTTAGTGAGATGAATCATTGTTGAATACCAAAATACTTCGGTGAGAGAGAAACATGCAACACTAAACGCACAACACAAGATCGAAATGAAATCTTCTCTTCTGGATTCATGAGCCCTACTTAGATCATGTTTGTTTGGGTTAGAATATAGCAATTTCATGGGACTAATAATCCCTCCGATGATGAGATTACTATTTCTTTAGGGTGTGTTTGTTTAGACGAACTGAATAAAGGAAAATTGTAATCCATTAGACTATTAGTCCAGAAATATATTGTCTCCAGACTATTTGATTGGACTGAATTGGTATCATATATTTGTTTAGTCATAGGATTAGATGTCTAGATTGAACTATTTTTAATGAATCCAATGTTTGTTTATTTAGTTATGGGATTAGATGTCTGAATTGAACTCAAATGACTATTTTATTATTTTCAATTATTTACTAAGTAATAGCAATATTAAACATAGCTTTAATATTTAATTATTTTTAGCTTAGATTAAATAAAAATTTATTTTATTTTATTTTTTGCACAATTAAATAAATTTATTTTAAAAAAATTAAATATCAATAAAAATGTGTTATTTTTTAATTAAAATTTTTAATAAATTCATTTTAAATAATAATAATTAAATAATGAAATAAAATAAAACATCTATTAAAATTTAAATAATGAAATTAAATAAAATATAAACAAAATTTCAAAATAATATATCTATAAAAAATTATTTTAAAAAAATTAAATAAATAAAACATCAATAAAAAGTTAAATAAAATTATTTTAAAAAAAATAAAAATTAAATTAAATTATTTTATTTTATTTTTAAATTGAAACATTTAAATTTTATTAAATTTTACTAAATATAATACATAATTAAATACCAGAGGGCATAAATGCTATTTTATTAGCTAATTCCATAGAATAAGTTATTCCATGATTTCTATCTCACCCCCCATGAGATAACATAGTCCCACAAATATGAGACTAATAGTCCGGAGAGACTATTAGTCCGAAATAAAACTTTTGAAATAAACAACGGACTAATAATCTAATCCCATGCCCAATCCTTCCAAAACAAACACCCCCTTGGGGGTTGAGATTGCTAATCCAATTTTATGAGATTAATGGTTTAAAAAGATAATTTTGCCCTACTTTATAAAACTAAGAAAGTTACTTTGCATGTGATAAGAAAGTTACTTTGTCTGTGATAAAAAACTTTTATATAATGTTATAGATTTAATTCCAACCAACTAATACCATCACACTAGTACACAAATAAATACACTTTTATCGTACATCTCTAACCTAATATCATCACATTAGTAATCCCAATCACTCATTCCCACCATAGTCCTAATCTCACCCTACCCAATCTGACAAACACATGATTTGAGTCCAATAATAAAGCAAATCTTACTTTCCAGCAGAGCCAAAATTTGATATTTGCATTTGTAGTTGGGAAAATATAAGAGCATGAAAGTAAGCTGAACACTTTTGCGCCAGCAAAACCGTCACCGGAACAGGCACCACTGCCTAATGCTGCTCCTCATGCTCCTAACCAAGCTGATAAAAGTGGTAAGTAAGAAACCATAATGAAGAAAGAACGAAAGAAAGATAAAAAAAAGATCACCCGATTGCAACAGACAGAAGACCACAATGACAAATGCAAGTGTATGAAGCTTGTGCGATGAAACATGATAAACAATTGTCCCCACTGATCCAGCAAATTATGCAAGAAAAGCAGGAAAACTAGGTTTTCAGAGTCAGAAGTGGCTGGAGACTTCTCAAAACACAGAAAAGGAAAAAGTGTAGATAATTTTAATACAAACACAAAATCTGTCTAGAAGTAATGAAAGGTTGTGAATTCATTTGTCTTAAACATCTCATGGACCAAGCCATGAGATGCCCCCCCACCCCCATTTAAAAAGCTCTGGAATTCAAATTGCAGATAGATAATGGATTTCAGGTACCACAACTTATTAAAAGATCAGCACCTCACACGGCACATCAGCAATTTAGGTAAAAAATCACATCTAGAGTGATTAACCTGGAGGACAGTAGTAAAGTGTACAAGATAACGACATAAAACCAACACCTAGGAAAAGCATATGTACATAAATATCATACGCTTGCCATCCCTCCAGTGCATTATCTCATATCCCCTTACTAAAATGTGATCTGAAGAAGTTTAGATGCCAAGCTGATTCAACCCAACCTGCATAAATGTACAAAATCAATCAGGAAAAAAATTAGTTTAGCTATCCAAGATTAAGAAAAGTACCTAAATTATGTCTTAATATAGGGTAATGAAAAGACACATAACCACACAAATTTTAAAGGAGAGGTTATCAAAAGCGTTTACATATCAAGTTGGACAAACCATTATACCCACTGCAAGTACATAACATAGCATGTCTCAGTACACAAAACAATAAAACAGTGCCAAGATGTTAATAGATTTAGTAGCCTGCTTCAAAAGCAAAATGGACACTAATTTGTTTCATTCCTATAGAACACCTGTGAGACCTATTGATATTCTTGTTAAAATGTGGTTATGTATCTTCAAGCAGTTACACCTGTGTTTGTAATTGCATTGATGCTAGATTATCATAGGTGTAACTGCTTGGAGCAGTTTCTAACCCTCTTTAACTATTTTAATTCAGTAATTGCCAATCTAATTTTTTCACTCGCGCACACGTGGTGTTTGCCAACATTTCTAGTATTCTTTAATGACAACAAAGCAGTCAAATAAACCAAAAAAGTTGAAATGCAGTCCAGCCCCCAAAATGAGAAATAGAAACCTAAAGTTGGAATTACCAAGGTAAATAGCATCAATGTAATCACAGGGGACAATATCTATTACAACACTTTCTAGATAGAGAGCCACTTTTTCATGTAGATACTCCAACAATAAAGAAGTTTTTACTTTTTAGTGGGCTATTCAAACAAACAACTACCAGCAACCTAATCCCTTTTTATAAACCTTTCTGGTTGTCCAAGCTCAACTAAACAAGATGGTGAATATTTGGAGTTCTCCAATCAGCTCAACAGTTTTTGGAGTGCTCCAATTCAGGAGGCTCAAAGTTTTTAGGGTGCTCCAAGCCTCAATGCTTTGAAGCTCCTTGCCAAGACCAAGTCAGCAAGTTTATAGCTTCTACCTACTTTCCCCTTCTTTTGCTCTCATCCAATTCTCCTCATTCCCCCTAATCAATAAGTGCTGTAAATAAGGAACGTTTTTTGGAGGCTCAATCCCTCTTCTTCATAATATTTTTCTTTTCTTTTCTCCTTCGTCTTCTTCTCCCTTTTATTTTTATTTATTTATTTGAACAAGTAGAATTAAATTAGAAACGGCACCAATTGGGCACTGCCCATAAACCCCCCAAAAAATACTCAATGGCTAACAATAGCTAAATCGTCACTCTCTTTCCGACAATCATAATTGATAGAACATTGAAGACTTTTAAGTCTTATCTCCTTCCTATGCATGGAATTCTCCTTCCCTTTTTGCTCCTCACTACACAGGCTTCCTAACTCGATCTTTTATAAATATCCCCCCTAAGTTACATACCCTTTGACTCAAAACCCCCAGAAGTTACTCCCAGAAAATCACACATACCACTCATATTATGTTTTATCCAGTCAATCCACTCTTCCTCCTTTCCACCACCTACAACCTTGTATTCTTCCCCTACCCTAATTACAGACAAATATGACCAATAACCATATCATCAACATTAATTCGTTGCAAACCTCCTCTAACTTAAACCGACTTCTGTCAACACCTTCCCTGAACTGACAGAGTCAGCTTCTAAACTACTAGCCAAAAAAAAGTCTCATGATCCAAAGTTTGCATAATCATCCTCTCCAAAATAAAAGAGGCTTTTGGGAAATTTCTGAAAGAGAGAGTCCAGACTGGTAGAGAGACAAGGGGAAGTTAATATTGCACAAAGAAAAAATTAATAGTTGGCTAGTGCACACAAGGCCACCAAATCTAGCAAGCCAAGAGAGGTGAGCTAAAATGACTAGAATGTTGGTGACACGAAATGAGCAACAGGCAAGCTTAAATGGTTAAGAGGGGGTTCGATGTAGCTAAGAAGATGTAGCCTTTATCAGACATAAAGAACTAAAGCTGACAATGGTAATCAATCAAAAACATGATATGGAGGGGGAAAAAAATCTGAACTTTGCATTGCTAGCAAACAACTAGTAGTTCAATGTAAACACAGCTAAAGCACACCATAACAAACCCAATTGTAAACAGAAACGATCTAACATAAGCTCAAAAACAATTGTTAAAATGTAGAAAACAATTAGAACAACACAAACTGGCATTAACAATGAAATCAGTAATGCAGAGAATGGCACTTACTTCCAACATTGTTGAAGAAACCCAACTAGGTGGTGGCCAAAACAACTTGGAGTAACCTGGACAATTAGCCAAAGACACAATATTACCAGTCTCCAAATCAAAAACACCGACACCGCGACCCTTCGGAACATCATCTTCTTCCCTGCCCAAGTAGAAGTAATTATCTGTAAAAAATATGCAATTTCCTTTGCACCCAGAAAACTCAGAAGCGGAGGCTGAAAACGTGCAATTGTCTCCCAAAAACAACATTCGATCCCCCAAATTTTCCAGTTCAACCCATTTCTGCTCACTCCGATCCAACCTAAAAACCTTAAACCGAACAGTTCTCTCATTCGTGTAACAATCGAATTCCTCGTAAAACTCAAAACCCTCATCGAAAGCCAGATCATCCTCAGGCCCAACGCTCAAATACGTATCGACCAATAACAATTCAGCACCAGATTTCACCAAAATTTTCTTATCACCACCAAAAACAGAATGTGCGATCAAATCCACAATTGGGGTCGAGTCTGAAGATGAACTACTATTAACATTGACAGCAACAGTCCTACCAGTATTATCAACAGCATAGAACTTGCCATCAAAGACAATGACATCATCATACGGAGAAGGAAAATCATCAATAATAGTCCATCTCCGATCGCCGAACTTGAACATTGCTAATTTCCCAGAAACATGAATGGTCAAAAGCACAGCACTTTCAAACCCAGAACCCAAACAACCCATCGAACAAAACGCAACCTTTTCCATATACAAATTCCCAGCATCAGAGATGGAATTGGCAAAGGGTCGATAATTAATGTACTGAAGAATGTACTCGTGACCCAATTCGCAAACCCGATACCTCAACAAATCGAGATTACGAGGGAAAGTGTCCGGCAAGGGCTTGAATTCGGATCGGGAGAGAGGATTCAAGAGGTGGGTACGGAGAGGGAGGTCTTGCTCGATCTTGATGAGCCAGCCGCCATCATCATCATCGTTGGGGGGTGTTTGGCGATGGGGTTGGGGTAAACCGAGGCGGAAGATGGTGCGTTTGGAGAGATAGAAACCCCAGGAAGTGTCGGAGATGCCTTCGTTTGGGAGGATTGGGAAACGGGAAGGAGTGGGGTCATGAATGGAGGAAACGGAGGATCGCCACGAGGAGCAGATGGATCGGAATCGGATCAGATCGATTTCGGATTGGAGGTGTTTGGCGATTAGGTCAAGGAGTTCTCTTGGGAGTTGAGACCAATCGCCCATGGATGAGATTTGATTTTCTCCGTTTTATGTGAAAACTCAAAGAAGAGCGAACACAAGTAGAGGGACGCACTGCGCTGCCATCGTTTTGGAAAAGTATGCCCGAATTGAAGTTCGGGTTGGGCTTGAGCTCAGCTCATGCCTAGCTCAGCCCAAGCCCAGCAACGCTTGCATTACAAGCTGATTCAACCCACTAAGGTTGGTCTACGAATTAGTTATTTTAGTAATCTTTTTAACTCATAAAATATGAGGTAAAAAAATGTTAGTATGTTTTGAATGATTTTGATTTTTTTATCAAAAAGGTACAAAAAGTAGATAAAAAAATAAAATTTTTAACTTTTTTAGTATAATTCTTTGACTATTATTTGATGTTGCCAAACTTACCCTTAGCTTTTATCAACCAAAAATTATAAAGCCTCTGGGTTGGGTTGGGGCTATTTTAATCACAAAAAATAAAATAGAAATATCATATCTAACACATAATAATTACATTCTTTTTCTCATAAAAAGTCAAAAAATCATTTCCAAACGAGATTTTTTAGCTCCAGACTAAAATAACCAAAAAACTAAAAAGTCAAAAAATCGACCCACTTCCTAAACGAACCCAAAATAAAAGGAAATTCTTATGACCTTTGTTGTTGTACGGGAAAGAAATAAACATTCTCGTATAATCCTGTTGATCAAGTCCGCGTTCTTCCAAACGTCGTCGCTTTACTCCCTGAAAACACAAAAGTGAGCTAGCCGGCGGGTGTGCACCGGAAACCCCTCCGATGCCTAAGTCAGCAAAATAGACAAGTAGACAAAAGCTCTGTGTATTCAGGAATCAAAGTTATGTTACCTCTCCATATGTTACCTCTCCAATTAGGATTCTTACTCCTCCATGTAGAGTCCTCATAGGATTCATACTCCTAAAAGATAATGCCTATCCTTCAACACTCCCCTCACTATTTAAATCAAGTGAGATGGTTTTACCGTGGTCGGACTCCAATGTGGCCGAGGTACGCATGGCTATGCTTAGCCGTAGAACAGACCGAACTATCCTTAGTTCGGTTCATCCTTTTACTGCCCTTACCTCAGTTCCTCCTGTACAAACCGTGGTAAGTCTAAACCGAGCTAACTTTTAGCAAGGTTTAGACCGAGCTAACCGTACTGCGCCATAACCGGTATAAGTTTTAGTATGGTCACCGAGCTAACCTCCTCGGGACCGGAGTAACTTTACACTTCTCTTGGGCCGGAGTAACTTTATACCTCTCTTGGGCCGGAATAACTTTATACCTCTCTTGTTCCGGAATAACTTCATGGCCTTTTTACTCAGCCCTTCGCACTGTGGCCCATAACGGCCCATTACCCAGTTCGGCCCAATTTTCATATAAATTACCCTCTCAATTGCCCCTTAATTCCATCTGTGCAGCATGATAGGGATTACCTGTCCCCAGCCGAGCTAAAAAAATTTCTGCCTTTTCAGTCGAACTAAACCCCTTTAGTCCTTCCAGCCGAGTTAAAAACTCTTGAGCTCTTCAGTCGAACTAAATTCCATACCGGGTTTAGCTTGTCCGGTCAAAACGTCCCTTCAATCACAGCAACTGAATCGATTCTCATTTCAACGACACGTGGCACGCTCTGATTGGCTAAAGGCAGCTGTCACGCTGCCCTCGTACTTCGCATAATTTGAACAGTTCCCGCCTTTGTCCCTTTGTATCAAAACAAAAACTCTTCATTTTGGATCAAAGCACTGCACTATTCACTTCCTCTTCTCTCCCTCTCGCTCCTGAGCTTCTGAGTTTGCTGAGTTCTTCGATCTGTATTCGAAGAAGCTTCGTGGTTGTGCTGCCGTTTCTCTCATCTTCTCTTGTCCTGGTAAGCTTACTCAAACTTACCTTGTTTTTGTTGTTTTTGCTTTTATAATACATGTATTTTGTGTGTTTTTTCAAAACACATTCCCTTCTTTCATGTAATAAAACTTCTGGCTTGTCACGAATAAACTGAAAAATACTGATTTTGATCCAAAATCATAGTATAACCGAACTAAAAAGTCGTTTGTAGTTGATATTAGTCTAGCCGGACTAACCGACCGAGCTAATTTGCTATACTTGTAGTTCTAACAAGTCAAGCCTTGAAAATCTTAACTACGCCCGAGCTGAATCTAGGGGCTAAACCAGCCTTCCAAGTTCAGACCGAACTGAGAAAGCTGCCCCTTGAGGCTCAACCGGGCTATCAAACACCTTGCTGGAACCGAGCTAACATAACCATTGCTGAAACCGAGCTAAGACCCATAGTTCACATAACCGAGATAGGACTTCATTTATTTTACCTTGATTTCTCTTTAGCACGGTCCATCGATCTGTGCATAATCCCTTTCTTTTTTTCACTTTGCAGACTTAGGTTGCCAGGCACTCCTTCGTACGCTCGACCGAGCTACTCAGCGTCATTTTTTAACCGAGCTATCATAGTAAAATTATTCATAACTTAAGAGTAAATGGGTAAATATAGGTTTTTAGTAGAAACACCTGGTGGCCTTGCCGAATTTTGAAGGGAATATAACATTCCTGACGACGTTTACCTCACCTTAGCCGAACAAGACATCATACCTTGGGGAAACCCTGGTTTTGTTCCCTTCACCCTCCTTTCCATTGTAGAAACCGGGCTAAGATTTCCTGTACATCCCTTACTTTGTGAATTCCTTAGGCAAACTAGGATATGCCCAACTCAGCTTTCTACAAACTCATACCGTATAATAAATTGTATAGCCGAGCTAAACCACCGAGCTGGCATTAACCTCGGCTTAGCCGAACTGTTTCATCAATATTCAATAGGATCAAAAGAAGATGGCTGGGTCTATTATCTAAGGATATGTCGTTGTCGAGAGAAAATAATAACGAACACACCGGATAAAGACCTGAACGACGATGATTTCTTCTGGGTTTCTAGGAACTTCGAAGACCAAGAAGCCCAGATTCCTGGTGACCGAATAAACTGGAATAAAGGGACCACTGGTATAATTACCTTGGCTTTATTGCATGTTTCTTTTTATTTCGGTTTCCTGTTCTTAAACTGAACTGACAGTTGTCTTCTTTATGCAGACTCAGCCCATCTCAAGTCACTGTACAGTTATCCTAACCTAAACATACTTTGCGTCGCACTACGGTATCCTGAGAGAAGTTGGGCCAAGCTGCTCAATTTTGAACCGACATACAGATACAATAATCGACGAAAAGCCAGAGTGATAGACTTTTTGTTGGAGGCATCGCCTAAACCGGATCCAACCTTGCCACAAATTAAGCTGGTCCGTACTACTGTTGAACAAGAGATGGTGAAGTGGAACAAAGTAAGAGCCCTCCTAACCGAAACACACCCAGCCGAAGTACCACCAACCACCCATACTCAAGAGACCGTGGTGGCTTTTCCATCTCAACAACCTTCCTCATCACGCCCCAGCAAGCGTGCCCAGACTACCCAGACCGAGCAACGCCTTATTGACGAAGATGAAACCCTTCTTCCACCAAGCCCTCTACCGAGCCCGCAACCGGAGCATTCCGACCGGGCTGGCTCTTCCAAATGGGCGCCCAAAATCACTTTTCAAAACCGAGCTATTCAAGACACTGACTCGGTGGTCGCTGAAAAGGATCATATGATGGCATTTAACCTTGCCAGGAGTGTTTGTCTCCCAGCAGACATGGAGCATCACAAAAATCTAACCGAACTAAAAGCCATTCGTTTAGCCACGAAATCCATGGTGCTTGTAAGTAGATTTTTCTGTTGTTCTTTCTAATTTGCACAATTTTCATCTCGGTCTGATCACGAGTCTTTCCTTCTTTTGCAGGCCATGCAGAAGAGCCACATCGCCCATAAACGTGTGCTGGAGTTTCGCAAAACAGCAAGGCAAGCCATGGCCGAAGTTGAAGCAAAAACCACTAAGCTAAAAGAATCCAAACAAAAGACAGCCGAGCTAGAGGCCGAGGTAGCTCGTCTAACCGGACTGGTTACCTCGGCTAATGCTGATAAACAGAAGGCACTGACCGTGATGTAGGATAAGTACCTTCGCGAGCTAGTCAACCTCGAAGGAAAGAAAAATGCAGGGATTGCCGAGCTAAAAAAGAAGGCGGATGATGCGAATGCTGCAAGTTTCAAGGAGGGAGAGGCCCTCTACATGCGACAATGTGAGGCCGCTAAAGATCTTTTCTTCAAATGTGGTTGGAGGGTAGCCGTGGTGCAGCTCGGTTGTGAACCTGAGACCGAGGTCTACAATCCTCCTCAGTACTTCATACCGAGCTCACTGGCGGAGTATGCTGCATCTGTTCAACAACAGTTTCTTGAGGGTTCAGATGATGATGAAATCGAGCCTAACGACACCCCGGTCGTCAATGATCCTGCCGATCAGTTAACTCGGGCGGAGCCCACGGTGGAAGACCTGACTACTGAGCAATTAACTGATACCGTGCTTCCAACAAAGACCATACTTCCGATCGCAGCCGAGCTCCCATCCGAAACCGGTCTTCGAATTGATGTTGATGCTGATCTTGATGATCTGTTAAACTGATTCTGTACTTTCTTTTCTTATTTGCTTGTTTTCAGTATTTTCTTATTTCCTTTTGGTCTTGTAACCGGGCTGATGCCCCTCCTTTGTATTTTGCTTTGAATTTGATCAATGAAAATCATCTTTTGTATTTGACACTTATTCCGGTTTTGATCTGTATGCTTGCACTTGTAATGAGTTTTTCGATGAATTCTTTTGCTCCAACTATTATCTCGGTTTACTTTTCTGTTTGTGCTTGCTTTCTAACTGCAATTTGAACGAAACATAATATTTTTCGGCCGAGAGACTTTATTCCGGTCTCAGCTGAGCAATCTGACTGAGCTTACTAGCCAACCATTCTTTAGCCGATATCCTTACTTCGGTTGAAGAGTGATACGGGTTTAATCCAGCCAACCTCTAGGTTGCCACAAATTAAGCTGGTCCGTACTACTGTTGAACAAGAGATGGTGAAGTGGAAAGGTTGGATCCGGTTTACTTTTTGTCGGTTTACTTTCCTGTTTGTGCTTGCTTTCTAACTGCAACTTGAACGAAACATAATATTTTTCA